ACAGTTCCGCAAAATACTGCTCGCTAGTTTGTTGTAGAATGTACCATGAGGCTGCAGCTGTCAACTCAGAAGTCATGGTGATCAACGTTCGACATCGAACTGTGAGCTACGACGGTGAGTAATACAGTAAGGGCAACAGCAGGATCTGCGTATTAAAATTTTGAATATATATTCATACTAAATTTCCGACTGCTATTCAATGATTTATTTCAATTCGTAGCCAGTCATAGGCATATAGAAAAGTTTTCGAACGTAAAAACTATGTTTAGCACTGTTTAATTTATATTTTGATATTTTGATGCGTTGTGTTTATTTAAACTAAGATATTCGACATCCAGGCAAAATCATATTACTGAGTGTTTCGTTCGTGCGTTGATGATCACATTCAAAAATTATAAATGTACAAAAACTGTTTATTTATACACAAAGTAAGCAATACAAATTGGTAAATCGAGTAGTTGACTAGCATAAACATTTCGGCTCGTCTCTCATGCGTCTTCTTCAGGGTGGTCCGCGTCGATTTCCACAGTTGGTCCGCAGCTGCTGTCCAAATGCACTCTTTTAGCTCCACGCATCACAACAGCTGGGGCTACGGAACCAACTGAAAACTACGGAGCTAACGACGGAATCAATTCATATCACCTTGAAGAAGGCCCGTGAAAAACGAGCTGAAATGTCGGTATAGGCCAATGACCCGACTGCCAAACTTGTTTGCTTGTGTTGTGCACAAGTAAACAGTTTGAATGCATTTTTAATTTTTGAAAATCCTATTAAGGAATGTATGAATGATGGCAGCAAAGTTTTCAAAAAATTTTGCTTCCTAGCACATATAAAAATGCAGAAATGCCGATGAGTTGCATGTTTTGTTATGATAACTACATTCTGACTTACTCACAGTTTGGAGAAAGCCATCGATGGGATTCATAATTAATTTCGTCAGCCTTTTCGATTCATTGCCGGATAAAGACCTCCCAGGACTTTGCAAAAATTCCTGTTTTCCTCGATTCGTATCCATCGTGATCCTGCAAAGTTCTTTTTCTTACTTTTCTAGTGATCTTTAGGCCTTTTTACTGTCCATTTAAATCTCCTGAAATCCAGTCTATTTCTATCTGGTGCAGTGATTGTCTGTCTTCATACAACGTATCCTAAAGAATGCCACTTTAATTTCTTCATCTGACAGTGACATCGCTGACTCTCGTTTGTGTGTATACCGATTCATTTTTCCCCTATCTTATTGTTATTCCCAACATACTCCTTTTCATGGTGCAGTGCGTTTATGAACAGCTTAGGGCTTCCATGTTTCGCTTCCATATGTCAGCGATGAAAGCACACTGGTCGAAAACTCTTCATTTCACCCTAGATAGCAGCTTTCGGGATGAGTGCATTTTCAGTCTTTTATGAGTACTCTATGTTACTTCACAGAGTCGGTTCTCCGCTGCAGAAATGAGCTGTATCAAATAAATGTAGTACTGCACCTCTTCAACGTTATTCCGCTGCCTTCAATGGGATGTGATATGATCATGATTTATAAAACATGATCCGACAGTTCTTCGTTTTCAACACAATAAAACTAACAGAGCTTGAAAGGCAGGGTCAAATTTTCCTTCAATTCAGTGATTGTCAAAACTTTCTGATTGTTTTATTTCATACTCTGCGATTGCAAAACCTCCATGCATCGAAATGGCTACCATTTGCTTTTCGTCCATGTTACACTGTTCAATGAAATGTTTTGTCATACCAGAGACACGTGCAATAGTTAAATTTTATAAAAATGTGACTGATCCAATGAAGGTTTCATGTCTTCAAAGAGGATCAAACTCGTAATACTCTTTTACAAATGTAGCCTACGCTAACTACGTCGTTCATTTTGCGCCTGATTCAAGTTTAGCAACATCCATGCTATCACGCTTCAAATAGATGACTATCAAATGTGACCCAGTAACTCGCGGAAAAAGAACCATTTTTAACTTATCCGCGGGTGAGTCAACTGAAAAAGTCACTGCTGATAATAAGACAGTGGAACTACTCAGCGAATTCATTTATTTTGGTGGCCGACAGTACTCCTCTTCGATGTGCAAGCAATAAATCAAGGCAATCTAGTCAAGATCGCTTTAACTGACTCAATCGTGGGGGTCACTGGCACCAATCTTACGGTAGTCACGTTTCAGAATAAAAGAAAGTTCTGTTTACAACAAACATTGGTGCTCAACGTCTTTCATTACGATTGTGAAGTCTGAACTGTCAGTCACTGAACAGGGAGTCAGCAACTTTTCACGAAATACCTGCGACAGTTATTGAACATCAAACGAATATTCGCCATTCCGAGTACTGACGTGAGCAGAGAAACTTACTTCAAGTGGATGCCGACTTCACTGCAAAACGAACAGTTCTCCTTGAACGGATACGCAATATTTGCGATAAAACGCCAGTTCATGAAGCACTAAAGGTGTTGAGAGTCTATCTCTAGTCTTCGCTCTCTAGCGAAGAGAGCGCGCAGGATAGAACCCTCCCAGCATGGCAACAGCCACACGGCCATCGAAGAAGAACTAGTTGCAGAAGTCGCCCTCAAGGTCGCTCTGTAGAAGTCAGTCGGTAGCATAAATGAGGTCGCCATGAGTTTCGTCATGAATGCATTGATATGTATTTGTTGATCATCATAATCTTCAATGAGTTTATACCACATATAAAGTTTATTAATATAAATCCCGACTTTTCGGATCGAGTTTGATCCATTGTCATAGGACTGTACTTCGATCTGTATTTAGGTCGAATCATGTAGGAAATGTTTCCAAGGCACTAGATACAGCTACTGAAGAACAAATAAAAATCAAGGAAATGATGAAGCGACGTTGCCCAAAACGGTATGAAACTGCATAAAGTGACCGAAGACTTTTTTAAGAATCAAACAATGTGGAGCTAAATGACTCGAATAGCAGACGCCTGTTAAAGGGAATATGTTGGATTGATGCTATTCTGCCATTAGAAACGATTCAGTTTGCATTGCTTTTCACGGATTCCCACTTCTGTGACTTCAAAATCCGCAGGTTATTCTCAAGAGTAGAAGCCAGACGTTTACGTAACCATCAAAAAAAAATAATTATCCAAGTATAGAACAGGCAAAATTCTAGAGTAGAACGATTCGATCTTTTCGTTAAGCATGCGTGTGTGTACTGCCGCTGACAATGAAAGGTGCAACGTTAATAAAACGCTTCTGGGGAACCTAACATTGTTTCATTTAAAGTTCGCAGATAATTTATTGAAATAAAAACACATACAATACGCAGTCTACTTCGAAATGACATGCATAGACTCTTACAATAGTAAATTAAAGTATAACATAGTTAAAAGTCTGGAAGAATCACTTTAATAAATGATGCTTTCGGAATCGAAAACGGTGTTCTTTCTTCAGCACAAATTACAGTGATGGAAGCGACCTCCTATCGCAGCAGTCCGTCGACTTGTGGAGCTAAAATCCAAAATCTTTTACGGCGAACGTTTTATAGCAGAATGTCTGCTTAAAAACGACCCATTTAGGAAACAGATTGTAAAAGTTGTCAAAACATTTACGTAGGGATGACGAAAAGACGGTTTAAAATCCGTCTGATTGAATACTCGGCTGCTTTTGAGCATGGAAATGAAAAGCTTCCGGTTACTGTGTAGCATGCTCTTGATAAATTGCATTACATTATTACCGGATATGAGTATCTTGAACCGGAACAACACCACAACTGGTCTCATGATAAGGAAATCAGCACTCCTCAAAGCTTTTTGGGAAGCCTTATTTAGTAAGGAATTATGATTCAGAGATCCATTTTCTGGTTTAAACCTCATCTAAAATAATTCAATTTTTACTGCCGGTATTTCCATGCCTTTTATTTCACCTTATTTTATTTTTGCCTTTTTGTATGGCATAGTCACGGAGTTTATAGAGCAAATTTGCTGATCTGTATGATTGCGATATCTTCACTGTATATTTTAATTCGTCCTGAAGCACCATTCTAGCCTCAAAACTCTTCACTTATTAAAATGTTATATTTCGGATTTCCAAATTTGTTTAATCATAATCTAATACAGATTCTACTTCTTGTCTCGACAGCATGGCACTGACTGAAATGTGCACAGAAACAGACAAATTTTATGAAACATTTGTTACGACCCTGCTTCTCATTATCTATCGTACACAACTGATACGATGAAGTCGGCGTGTTGCTGTATCAGTGGTTTTATGATTTGGTTAGAAAAAGAACCAAAGGAAATGTTACGATGTACCCATCAAAGGAGTTTACTGACAATTTCGGAAAACTACTAATGGTTGGGTGAAGTATTACAAGTGATCACCATTCTGTAGTCCAAACATAGCTGTCTTTAAGGAAGTATAGATCCATTAGTTTAAAAGCAGCGTGCATCAATCAGTGGCGATGAGGGCAGAAGTGCAGTGAATAATACCTGAGTGCCATATATACATGGATGCAATTAGCTGATGAATGGGTTTAAAAGTCATTGCGACATTTATTTCGGCTACTGAATGGAAGATGGTAAGATGCTTACCATTT